ATACTTTTTGAAGGAAAATTCCGTAAATTGCTAATTAATTTTTTATTAGTTAAAAAAATCAAATTTACAAGCGAATAAAGTTAAAAGATTAATAATAAACACAATAAAAAAGTTATGAGACTAAAATTGTAAATGTCTCAATATAATAATTCAACATCATTAAAAAAAGCGAGTTGTATATGTGGTTTTGTAATTTTAATCACTTAAATATTGTCTAATCAACAATTTTCTCCACATAAAACTATTTTTCCATCGAAAAGAATTATTTCCGGCATAAAACTACTCGTTGGGGGCAACGTTTATTTTTTCATGCATTAGTTTTATCGGTGTGCAAATTAAATACATTTATTCAGTATGGTGTATAAATTTTAGGATGTTTTCTTTTGGACTGAAATTTGTTGGTCTGGTCTGGTCGGAACTGGTTTGGTCTGATCTGGTAAACGTCTGGTCTTTGTGTATATTATAACTACAGAAGTCTGGTCTGATCTGATCTGATCTAGTTTGATTTGGGACTGAAAACAGTCCAAAAGAAAACATCCCGGTTCCATGGAAAATTCTAGAGCCTGTTAACAATATTGGGTATATTACGAATAATATTGAAAGAAGTTTCTTACTCATCGTTTGAAAATAAATCATTTGAATAATTACATATACAAGTTAGAAGATCTGAAGATGTCGAAAGATATCCGATCCAAACTTTTAATAATAGTGCGTACGTGCTACTATTTCATGCGGAGTAAATGGGTGCAAATTAATCCCACAAAAGCAATTGTTATACTAATTAAATTATGTTAAGATCTGGGGTTCCATTCTAAAAGGTCAACCTGTTAGGAGGAGTAGCCCGAAGCTTAATATAGCACTCTAGTGCTTCTCAATTTTCCGGTGTGGGACATTTAACACCCCTCCTCACGACCAGACACTTCGTCTGGATCGTGTCGTCATTCATTTTTTCATCGGTTCATCAATTTTTTTTTTATCGTGTCGTCATTTTTCATAAGGGGCCCCACACCATGGAGCGATTTGGCTCTGATACCATGTTAAGACACGAGGTTCCATCCTAAAAGGTCAACCTGTTAGGAGGAGTAGCCCGAAGTTTAATATAGCACTCTAGTGCTTCTCAATTTTCCGGTGTGAGACATTTAACAAATTACGGAGTAGTAATTATAGTTGCACTGAGAAAAAATAACATATAAATTAGACATGTTTGCGAACGATCGATATGTGGTCGAGTTCTTTAAAGACATATATTTCTATTTTTGTATTTTTTTACGTTGACAATTAACAAATGTTAAAGGCAATATAAAGGACATGTTATATTATAATATAATATAAGTTTAGAATGTTTTTATACACGAGCAAATTGAGCAATGATACGTGTGTGAGTTTAAATATTAGGATGAGTTTGAAAATTATAATGTGTGTGTGGTCTTTGTGTTGCATTTGGTAAAATCGCCTCACCTATACGCATTTTGTAAATTAACTTAAGTAAGTTGTCTAAATTAAACAGATCACACGGTAAATAATTGTGGCCATGTAAATAAATGTAATACGAAGTATATATCAACATATATCATTCTCTTTTAATTTGTCTTCTCGGATGTTATTGTTCTTAGGCTACACGTTATATTGTGGGAGCAGGACATCATGAGCATGCATTATACTCTCACACCTAAAACACGTGTGAAAGTAATTTTTTTGTCTCATTAGTAGGGTGATATATTTCACGTTTAAAGAAATGTAACTCAAGTTGATGGTAATGCATGTAAGTGGAGGCATGTCGAAATCTAAGTTATCTAATATGAGGTATAAGAAATAAAGCATTGGTTTCAATGTAAACAATGAAAAAGAGAATCTAGTTGCCAAACTACTTTACGTAAATAATGAATACGGAGTATGTTTTTTTTAATATCAGAGCTATAAAAAATGAAATGCTTAAAAATCATACTTTCACACACAAAACACACGTGAACAATGATTTTTTTTTCCAGTATTGGGGGTTTATTATGTGGTGTAACACGCGTTATGAAAAATGTAACTCGCGTGTATGCAAGATATAATTTTCTTATGCAAGTCCAAATGTAACTCGTGCATATGAAAATGCAACCCGCGCATATTAATATGTAAATTGCGCAGGAGAAGATATAACTTGCGCACATCAAAATGTAAATCGCTGACACATGAATATGAAAAACAAAATCTTAGATTTATTTTGAAAATGAAGAAAAATGAAATTGTGGTTAGATTGTTAATATTTTGATCGAGGAGAAGAAGATAAATTTAAAGATGAAGAAAAAAGAAAATCTGATTAGATTCTAATTATTTTGATCGATGAAAATAATGAAGAAGAAAATGATTGAATAAGAAAAGGAAAAGAAAAAGAAAAAAATGATTACATTCGAGATCTTGTTTTATTGATTCATTTATATAATTATTAGCTAAGCCACTATTAGTTAAATCTACAAGTGTCCTTTGCAATGAATCCTTTTTTGTTGGATAAGAGAATTAAAGGCCGTAGCTGATTAAGTGGGGGTTTTCAGTTATGAACTTCACCCTATAACCCTATTGGGTCTAGCATACCATATGCATGATATAAAAGTCCGATGGTATAGTTTGCGTTGAGGACCAAGATTTATTATTCATCCCCGACATATAACACTTGGTTTATCTGTGTTATATGTAATTGGTGTTTGCTTTTAGTGTCATATTTAATGATAATACAATCATTTTCATGTCTCTTCAATGAGAATGGGTTTTTATTTGGGAAAATGGCATTGAGGCTGTGGCAAGATTGCATTGGATCATATATAATTAATTCGGGATGAACAAAAATTAATTATGAGCCCGTTTGATCAGGGCCGATCCTAGGAATTTTTTGGTCGAATAGTATAATAAGACCCTTAAGCACCATAAAAAATAAACATTAAAAATATTTATACTTAATTACTTACCTAGAACAATGAGATTATATTTTCGAAATGAATGAATTAATGTTTTCCACTCTTCTAGACTAGAAAACTCATCAAAGCTTGAAGTTGGAATTTGGGAAGTTGCAAACTCAAATTGGGCATACTAGCTATATATGGGTATATATACAAAAAAAGATAATATATTTTTGGGCCCTATTTTTTTCTCAAAATTGTGGGGCCTGAGGCAATTGCCTCTTTGCCTCAAGGGTAGGTTCGGCCCTGCGTTTGGTAGCACGAAAATCGGTTGATTTGGTTGATTCTGCTGAAATTTATGAAGTTCTGGCTGAGGTGACTGCATTGGTTGATTCTGCTGATTTAAGAAAAAATATTTTTAAAATATATTTTACTATTTTAGTAATAAAATAAAGAAAAAATTATATATAAAAATAACTAAAATGGTCATCTACAGTAACTTCAGACAATACAGGCAGAAAAGTAATTGCAACCTTACACAATTTAGCGCGCGAAAGCAAAAGTTACGTGTTTGGTGATAAAGTTGACTGATAAGCCAAAAAACATTGTTGCCAAACGGCCTCTATATAGGGATAAACAAAAATACTGAACCAGATCAAAATAAATTAGGGGTACTTCCCGATAAATCACTAAGTTGGTCCATATCTCTTCTTTTTGCATCAATATATTTTCAACATGCTAACTATCATGAAAAATGTTTAGTGTACATTTTTTTGTGTACACATTTGGTACACGTGTCTGTCTATACAGACAACTTCTATATTTCAATATGAATTGTCTATATACAAACAATTTTATTTGTGTACACAGTTAGGCGTGTCAAAGGTTTACACAATAAAAGTGTACCCCAAACACGGGTCAATTATCATTGTTTTTGTGTCGATGTGAATTTCATATCCATCAAAGTGATAAAGTTGGGAGAAGGTGTGGTCATTATATGTATATAATGTACATATTTCTTGATTTCTTTAATAGTTAAGAACACATAGTGATCCCTTTAACTTCTCAAAACATATTAACTAATACTACGTATTGATTTTTCTACTGAAACTGTCATTTACGCTTGAGACTGATAATTGAGATGAGTGTACATGTTATTAATTATTTTAAAAAGAACAAATGTAATTCATCGTGTTGCAATTTTTCTTTTCGTTTTGCCTTCAATTTCAAGTTGTTGCTGTTTTATATATATATTGCATACGTATTTGCTTTAGTCAATGCATGGTCTAAAAAACATGGGCCCTAATATTGTTCATTAGTGGGTTTCACTTTAGATCTTAAGCTATGTAATGATCATTGTATGTCTATGGGTGGATTTATTGTACTCTACCCTCACCACAAGAGACATTCTTCTCGGATTATGGGACAACGAACCATTAATTTGTTCAATCGCTACTTTTGTTTTAGATAACTATCATGTTTTTTATGAGGAACAATGGAAAATTTTATAGCTGTTAGGATATAAAGCAAGAGAGCAAACTTAATGATCTGTCCAAACTTAAGAATGATGATATCTTTGTTTTGGAGCGACTTCAGTCTGTCAAATTCAGTAAGATTTTTCGAACTGACTAAGGAGTCCTTCAAGGGATATTTGAAGCAAAATACAATGCAACGTAACACTTCTATTACCATGCATTGTGAAGACTTCAAAGAAATAATTAACATTCATGACAAAGCTACATGTACTGCTACCAATCAAGAGTTAATAGACGATTTAGTCCAAAGCATATTTCTGCGGTTCTGCCGACTCCAAGAACTTTAACTCGTCATTGTTGTAGAAACTGTCTGTGTTTATTTTAGTATTAATTTTTTCCCTTTGGTGTAACACAACTTTAAATTATAGTATATATCTTTGCAATGTTAAGCAATTGTTTGTTTTTAATAGTTATGGACAAATATAGCATACGTTCAGTTTGAAGTTATGTGTTCTCAATATTGTATTCATTAATACTTAGTTAATTCAATTTTTTTTTTATTTAGACGTAGTTTCTATTTTCACCATATAACGATAATTTAATTTAAAATAACTAATAATAATGTAATCTATAATTTTATTTTATATTAAAGTGAAGACTATACTCACTAAATTAATTTAATGACAAACAAGGACACAAAAATTGTGGTGCATTCACAAACTCAGTGAGACTTAAGAAAATTGTTACCCATTTTCTCACTTATTGGAAAGCGAGTCAATTACTCTCCAGTCTCCACTACAATGGAGTGACAAATAATTAGGAGCCAAAAACTAAGGTAGTGCACACCTAGATTAGAGGTTCAGATATTTTTCTTGGATTTGTATCACATGCTTCCCGTGAGACTTGCTAGCAGCTAGCATTAACACTTCAAATCTTGTTATTTTGTTTTGTCTCTGTCCTTCGCCTCTCATTTTCTTAAGAATGTCCCACTACTTTTCCTGCATCAAAATGCATGGTCAAGGATTTGATGGTCAGGAGTCACGACATGTCTTGTCAGTCAAAGGTGCTCCTTGCACTGCTTCGTGAACACCATTTTCCTGTTTCTTCCTCACAACATGATTTTCGAAGAGAAGATGATGTTCATCATCAATGATTTCTAGGTTAGGACATGTCTGGTTTGTCAGAAGTTCTTGCAATATCACTTTGGGCACCCCGTTTATCTTTCCGGGCTCTTGCGTGTCTCTCTTTATTAACAATGATCCGCTTGCTCTTGCAACATTCATCGTCAGGAATAGTCATGTTTGTCAAAGGTGATGTTTGCACTGTCTCGTGAACCGCATTGTCTTGAAGCTTTTTCATACATTCATCAAGGATTTCATTCTTAGGACGTGCCTGCTTTGTCGAAGGTGCTTTCACTACCTTGTAAACCCCATTTTTATGTTTTTGCCTCTTGCACATATGTGCTCCTTTAACCATTGATTTCTTCCTCTTCCTGCATGCATCATCAACCATCTCATTGTCATGACGTGTCTGGTTAGACAAAGATGCTCCATGCACTGCCACATGAACTCCGTTCGCTTTTTGCTTTTTCATGGCAATATTCTCCAAGACGAGATGATGAGCTAACCTTGCCAAACTCGACCCCGATATAGACTTGGGGGGCATAGGACTAAAATGGTTTGTCAATGAGAAAAGTGTTAGGGTGCAAAAGCATGATCCCTGGAATAAAACAATTAATCAAAAACATATCAATTTTGCAATGATCTCTTACCTTAAGCTGAAACGTTGGTTGTGGCTCCCTCTAGTAACTGCAGTCGTCTCATGCCACAAAATTGGTTGTGGCAAGAGGTCATGTTTTTTGATAGCCTGTGATTAGCCAATACATCCAGCTCAAACGTTAGTACTCAGTAGTAGAGATGCAGATGCTAAAACATTCCCACGATCAGATAGAGAGATGTATATCCCAAAAAGTTGTGTACCTTTTTAGGTAATATTACCCCTGCTGGCAGTCTGCTAATGTGAGGATGAAATGCAGGGACTTTGTACATTACGCATCTGCAAATGGGAATAAAAATATTGTGCAAATCTATTAGCAAGAAAAGCTTCTTCCAGCTTTTCATGTTAAAAGAACACCTTTCACGTTAAAAGAAATATCTAGTTGGAGGGCACTTACATTACTTTGTTGTTTCTTATCATGTCCATGCCGTTGATCGGTGATTGCATCTCCATAGGACATGCTGGCTTATCAGATATGTAGATGTATCCATTCATTCCATGACTGAAAATTTCAAATTAAGAAAGAAAAAAAGCATCACAGTTAGAAAACAAAGAAAATGGGTAACTCATAAATACCAAGTCATATATGTTACAACTTTGCATTCCATAAATTGCTGTTGTGCAGAAGGCATTATGTGAATGCAGAGCATCATTGTGCTCAATGTGAATGAACAAAAGGAGTACCAATGTCAATTAGTTTTTATTTAATGCTACAATAAAGTTTTTTTGTAGTTCGTACAATGAGCTTGGAGTCATCCCGAAAAGGTATAATTTGCTTCTAAAAGTTATAGCTCAAAGAGCATATCACTGACCTGATGTTTGGGTTGATTTTCCTCTTCAATTTTGTCTTTGCCAGTTTCGGATTATTCTCATTACGTTTAAAGAACGATAAGATATTTCGTGCTAAAGGGTATGATCCATGAACAAATAGCATGTCAAGTCCGAGACTGTTTCTCCTCTTTTCCTCGTCCTAGATAACAAAGAGACGGTTAAGAGTTACACATTTATGTGAATAGAAACCAAAGAAAGAAAACAATGTTTAGAACCAAAATGGAAAGTAGAACTGGAGTGGTGATTTATTATGCATAGCAGCAACCAGTACCGTTAGTGTACTCTCTAATTTTGATACTGCTGGGAGAAGTCGGAATTCCTCAATAAATGGTAACTTACAGACAGCCTGCAAATAGGAGGAAAGTAAAATGAAGCAGTCAATCAGTGCAAGACAAAGTGCATGATAACTAGTTTCATGGGGCCGTTTCTGAAGTAAGGATATGCTCCCTTTGTCCCTTAAAACTTTGCCAAGTTTGACTCACACATGGAATGATACTGTAAAAATTATGTGGTTGAGGTTTGTGTAGAGGAGAGAGAAATAATAAAAACCACATATCAATTGATTAAAAGGGAAAGTGACAAAGTTTTGGGGACAATCAAAAAAGAAAAGATGGCAAAGTTATAAGGAACAGAGGAAGTATGATTTAAGTAGGTTATCAATTACTGAACCTGCCATGAATGCCTTTTTCCATTGAGGTCAAGCTCAAAATCTGTCATGAATGAAGTAACATCAAATACTCCATTGAAGCAAATAATCATGAAACACTAATCAGCCTACCATGGGGATAAAAGTCCACAATGGGGGATTGTGGATCTGTCATCAGGTTTCTGTATGAAAAAGGGAGTGCCTGTGAACTGCATGTACAACAGAGTTTTGGTTAGACTATCATGCATACAATATCCAAACCTCATTCCCAAAAGAGTTTGGGGTCGGCTAACATGAATCGACATAAGATGTCAGAGTTAAAAGCAATAAAAGCATTAGATTATCATGCATATTTGAAATAAAATAAAGAACATTAACATTAGAATCAATAAGAATCCAAAATAGTACAAATTAGTACAAAACCTTGCAGCTGGAAGGACGCCCATCAATTGAGCAAAAGGCTTGAAGGGCTCTCCTAGTGTGAAAGTGGCATGGAACTTATCGAAACCATGTAAATCAGACGCAAAGGGAGCATAGTGGTAAGGATAAAACCTGCAGCATAGCAATTCAAGTTGAGTGAAGAAATGGTCATAAGGATTACAGAGTAACACCTATGAATAGGTGTTATAGTAACACCATCTTCTGAAGATAGTGCAAGTCGGAATTTGGTTATAAGGGGTGCCACCATTGCCATGAGCAGACTCCTTGGTAGTAATAATGCATCACCCAACATATTCCTTCAGCATATTTCAAAGCCTGTGTAAGAAAGAAAGTAGTTATAAGGGAAACTGAAGATGACAGAACTATGGTAACACAAATGCAATAGGCATATAGAATATGATGCTTCATCTAGAACTTAAAATCAAGCACAGCCTTCTAAAATTCTTAATTGGAACTGAAAGTAGAAGATACAAGGACTGTTGCAATTAAAACAGAAACAGTATAGAAGTTGCATCCATAAACTTTGATAGAGGCAGAGGAAAATCAGCAAAGTGAGTCAATTGCGCACTGATTTTGGAACTTGCTGGAATCAAAGACTTAAATATGACTTCTACAATTCATCAAATCAATTTATCTTGTACGTTTTGTCCTTGTTAAAAATTTCTGATAGAATTTAAATAAGGGCTTCCCCTTTAGCCCTAGTCTCTTCCCAAGTTATCATGCTACGGAAACCTTTGGGTAAGTGTCAAAATATGAAATATATTGATTCTTTTTATTTTAATGATTTCCTAGATCTTGTTGGATTTTCCCTTGCCTCTGTCCCTAAATGTTCTTCAAACCTTTTTGGGAAAACTGTCAAATAGGTCCTCGAACTTTCATAAAAAGTTCAAATAAGTCCTTATATAGGAGGCTATGTCCGGCCGTCGCGATTTGGGGCGGTTCCCGGTGGAATTTTTTGATGAAATTTTTGTGCATCTTATTCATCAAGTCTAGTTTACTCATACCAAATTTCAGCTAAAACTTCAATCAGGAACGCATTCAAATTAATTCTTGAAGATAACTGTGCAGTGAAATGCGCAGTTATCTTCAAGAATTAATTTCAATGCGTTCCCGATTGAAGTTTTAGCTGAAATTTGGTATGAATAAACTAGACTTGATGAAAAAGATGCTCAAAAATTTTCATCAATAAATTCCACCGGGAACCGCCCCAAATCGCAACGGCTGGACAGAACCTCCTTTATAAGGACTTAATGACCTTTTTATGAAAGTTCGAGGACCTACTTGATAGTTTTCCCAACCTTTTTTGGTCGCTCGAAAATGTTCTCCACACTTTTTTTAAGGAAAGAATATGTGATTGACATTGATTCTATTATGTCTAAAATCAAACAACCCAATTCTCTTTCCGCCGGTTTCCGGCTTCACATAAAACTTGTGAACAAAAATTGTGGATAGAGGGAGTATAATAGAAATAAGAAAAATAATACCTCTATTCTTAAATGATTGCAACATGTTGAATTTTTCACTAAACACATACTCTACCTTAACTTTGGAGAGAGTGAAAGGGACTAAGGGAGGGAGAGTATATGTGTGGATGATTGATATGTTTTAGTATGTCTTCTTTTTCTCTATTTATCATTTTTATCTCAAATTTCATATGTCGATTCATGTTAGCCAACCCAAACTCTTTTGAGACTAAAGATTTGACGTTGTTGCTTTTTTAACTTTTTATAATTCTTACTTATTGCCAACTAGATATAGTAATGGTCAAATTTGCGCATTGGCAAACATGAAAATACAAGTGTTGCAACTAAATAAGAACGGAAGAAATATTCATTTGCCAAAGACAGAATAATGCTAGCAAGTTGACTGAGATCATGTGGGTCCATCACACTTGAAAGCAGTGAAAGAGAGCACCCCTTACTGTATTTCTACGAACAATCTCACGGTCTTCAACAGTTTCAACTCCAAACTTTTCCGCGTAGTATCTAACCTTCCATTCCTTTTCCCCTAGTTTAACCTGAAATTATAAGATTTACAATTTTGTATTACTATTTATTTACTAGTACTAGAATAGCTGTATAAATTATAATTTAGGCAAAAGTGCAAAATTTTCAGAATATGTTGTGAATAAACATCATCACACCTTGTCATCTTCCAGACCAGTCTTGTAATTTGCAAGGCTCTTACTCTGATTACATTTGGGATCTGACTGATCAGATAGCAATCCCATGAAATTCAATTTGAACTCTATATTATATCCTTTAGTCAAGAACTTAAATGGAACTTTATGTTAACACTTAACATCATATCATACTCACATTAATAGAATGATGTTGCATTGGTCTTGGCCATCGCTTTTTTTCCTGAATTAATCAAATTGTTCAAAATGAGACAGTGGAGTTCACCAGGTCAGGTATCAAGTGCATTGAGTTCAGTTCAAAAAACACTTTTTTGGACTAATAATTCGGAGAAACTTAGTTATTCCACAAGCTTAAAAAAACCTGTATACGCTTTCTGAAGATTCTGTTTTCATATGATCCAACAGCTTGCATGAAATGCTCCACCCTTTTCAAATTAACCTGTACAAGACAAAAACAAAAAAATACGTGAATCACCTAAGCTAATCATAAATGAATATGGAATATGAAAAATAGATTACAATTATCCCAGCTAATATATGTTCGCTTATAAAAAAACCACTATAGGGTTATAGGTTAGTCTAAACAATAGTTTTGCATGAGCAGCAAACTTAGTTCCCCAATCTATAAAGGAGTATTTGGTTATAATTATCTTAACTATGCTCAATCCACTTATTAACCCCAAACAAATAAAGAGGAATTCTCACAAATATACATAAAAACAAAAAGATAACATTTTAATATAAAAATGTAATTATAACATATTTTCATTGCAAATAACCCAAGCCTTAAATCTTAAACTCAAAAACCCTAACTCCTAATCGCAAATCGTAAATATTAAATCTTAATCCCTGCCATACCTCTTTAGAAAATCATCATCATCATTACCCCAGTGCCGCAAAGGCTCCCACTTACGGTGGGGTAAAGGGGGGTCGGATGTACGCAGTCTTACCCCTGTACTAAAGCACAGGGAGACTGTTTCCGGATGACCCATGGTGAAAATCGTGTCGAAAATTGCATGGACTGACTGCTGCTTCATAACAAAGAAGTGCAGACAGTTTAGAGAGCCATTTTGCTTTATTCCATCATATTCCCAAGCCAAGGTAAAACTTTGGCTCCATTGCAAATGATGGAAAATAAGGAATTAAAAACATAAATATATTCTATAAAGTACGAATACAACTAAAAATTATAATATTGGGAGAACTACCAAATAAGCCCTCAAACTTACATAAAAAGTGCAAATCACCCCTTATATAGAAGGCTATGTCCGGCTCTCGCCATTTGGGGCGGTTCCCGGTGGAATTTTTTGATGAAATTTTTTGAGCATCTTATTCATTAAGTCTAGTTTACTCATACCAATTTCAGCTAAAAATTCAATTGGGAAGGTAGTGGAGTAAAATTATCTTGTAACCGAATTAGATTGTAACAGAAAACTATATAAATTGAATAAAATAAATTGCAAAAAATTATAATTAAAGAGTTTTAAAAATGTGCATGAGGTTTATATGTAATTATAACAATAATAATTAACTGTGTTTAAAAACTTGGGAATTTAAATACTTTAAATAAAGACAGTGTGAACAGTATATAAATATGGAAAGATTAAAAAAAGTTTAAGGAGATATGCAAACTCAAAATCATTTTAAAAATTAAAAAAAAAAAAAATAACCGGAATGAACAACAATGCAAAAAGGTTAAATTTGTAAAACAATTGAAAAGGGGAAGATGTAGATCAAATAAAATATGAAATTTAAAAAAAAAACTAAGTAAGAAATAAACATAATAAACTTTATTTTTAAAACATCTTGGTACATTTTTAGATTTAAAAAAAACAATTGAAACAATAATAACTTTGAAAGTTCACATAACTTTTTCTACGTTTTCTATAAGAACTGATGGTTGATTAGGAGAGCGGACATACGGCAAACTATTAAAAGAACAAAAATAGTTGGTAGCGTGTTGGACCTTATAGTTGAGACTATCCAAGAATAACGAAGAGTTGGGATTATTATAAGTGAACTGAGGATAGTTAGACTTATTGTAATCAATTCCTACAAAATATCATATATTCACATAAATGATTTATGACTGAACTCAGAAGAGCTGTTTAGTAGGTAATTTGAAATGTTTGACAAATATACCTCAGCAGAATCAGTGAGGTAACCACCCATATGGACAAACTCCTTCTTGTAGACATTTATGAGCAAGTCGATGGCCCCCTACAAGAAAACCACACCAAGAAGGATAAGGAAAGAAGTAGAGCTTGTAAATCCAAATACTCTCATAATACGCACTGAAACTGAAAGAAAGCAAACCTCTGATATCTCCAGAGAAGGCATGTGTGGTAAAAAATCATTCCCAACAAATAAACACATTAATACAAAATCATCTATCAGCCGTTCTAGGTCTATCTTAAATGCTGAATCAGGTATTTGTAAATCATGAGCTAGGTAGTCCCTGAGCATCCATATTCTGAAAATCTGGGAAAAAGGAGTGGATGTTTCACATACACGTATACACTGTATATGACTCTTAGTTATATGCAAAAGGAAGGGAAAGGGGGGTGGGATTTACAAACCTCAAACTTCTGTTCGGATATGACATTATCTAGCTCATTGCCATGTGTTGCATCTTGGACAAATTTCATATGTTTTAAATTTCTATCATTTGAAAGTTTTTTGGACATATCCTACATTACACCGCAACATGATTTAAATAATCTCCAACAACTTAGACAAATATCCGGCAAAATATACTGCATAGAACGCAACATAATTTGCACCTCTCTCAAAATTGTAAAGTGAACTTCGTGGGTAGCCAGCGCAAGCATGATCAGGTCTGCATCCTACAACACCATCTCTCAGATGTGATCATAGGATGGTCAGCAAATAAAACATACCATGTAATACAAGGGAGTAGACACACGAAGTTGTTTAGAGTGCCATGTAGGGAGAAAACGTAAGTATCAATACTTACCAATCCATACAAGCAATGACGTGTATTGGGATCAAAACCAGGCAGATCCCTTTGCAAACGGATGTAAGACACTATCTTGTGCTCTCCTTCACCTGGTACACTAGCATCAGAGAGAATAACCTGAAAAGATCAACATTCCACGATATTAGAACAAATGAGAGGGAATAAAAGATTTTTTTTCAAATTACATGGCATCATAAAAAAAATGCTGAGTTTACAAATCTAACCTTGATTCCCTGCCAACCTGGATCCTCATTCATTCTAATCTTTACGTAGTATTGTAGTGCAGAAGACAACATAGCCATGAACTCAGTTCCGGGTGTTATTACGTTAGAATCCAAATCATTACTTTTTGATTCAAGTATCCCAATCAGACTTTCTCTTCCAGAAGCCTGCGAGTAATAAAATATTGATTTTTTCCTCGGTGGAAGGAACTTTCTAATGATCTTATGTAAAAAAATGATAGTGTCCACACTTACTGCATCTTTAGCAGCTCTAAAACGCCTTGCACGCTGTTGATTCATTTTAGCACGTGGAGCAACTCCATCTTAAAAGTTAGTACACATACGTAAATATATTGTTTCTAAGCGGCACACAAACCGGAAAAGGGAAACATGAAATGCGAGAAATAGGATTCCAAAAAAAATATAGGAGCAAAACATGGGGGGAACGTGTAATATTAAAAAATACAAGGAAATAGTTATATATATGTTTTATATGTATACAAGTTCGTACATTTATATATATATGCAAATAGTCTTTCGTATAACTTTATTTCATAGATGATAATAAATATAGTCTACATGTTCAACTTTAGAAATTATTATATATTAGTGCATATATAGTCATAAATGCAATATATTTATATCAATGCAATGCGTAATGGAATATCGCAATGTTGCTAGGAAAGAAATCCATAAAAAGCACTAAAAGTTTAAAAAGTGCACTGTTTTCATCAAGAAATGTCACAAAAAGAGAAAAAAAAAATAGAAACCCAAAGTTTCCCGAAGCCTAATTACTTTGGGAGACCTCTGAAGCAGGCTTTCTAATTCTTCTAATAATGGAAACAAACCCAACAAGGGATTTGAAAATTCCCAAAAGGGGAAGCATGAGTTGTGTGAAGTTCAAATGCTCTGTAGTATGGTTTCAAACAAAAGTTCAAAGTTCTGCAAACTTAATAGAGAAACGGCAAAAGAAAAAAAAAAGATGAAAAAATGCTACCTCAAACTAGCTTGGTTACCCTTGTTCCTTCTAAAACATTAAAGACTTTTTTATATAAGAAATAAGGAAGATTACTAACCAATAGCCATAAATAAAAGCTTCCGAGGTCTAATGATTGAAAAGATTCTATCAATGTACTTAAATACCGCCCTAAACACTGCATCATAAGTATCAGGGGGAGGCTGCGAACATCAAAGCACGCTTGTCAGTACGACTATAATCCCATAGCAATTAGGACAACGAGAATAAAGTGTGTTACTTGGTAAACTTACCAAGCCTTCAGGGTGAAAACAAGGGTGTACAATCCCATTCAAGTCAAGATATAAGTTATCGTATTCATAGCCATTGGGGTTCGATGTGGTGGAGTCAATTAGGACAGAAACACCGTCAACGACCGTGGTGGATTTATCGACGGCCGCCTCAGCGCAACGAGGGTACCGGTCGAGCAACCATCGATAGAAGGCAGGTATACCCATCTTTAGATGTCGTCTGTGATGCTGGATTTTGTTGCATAGTGAAGTACTCCGTATTTACTGGATGCGGGGTTGAAGCTAGGGTCTGGGTAGGGGTGGGCTAGGTCCAGTCCGATCCAATATTTGGTCAAATCCGTACCCGTATGGTGACTATTGAAATAGTTCGGTTCGGTTCGCTCTTGGATCTAAACCCGTTCGGTACGATCCATTTTCAAACGGAACGGTGTCGTGCCATATCAATACCAAACAATGTCACTTTTGCAAGTGTTTGGGGAAAATTAAAGTTTAGACATCCTCCAAAAATTTACACAATTTATCAATTTCATACTACCTCCGTCCCAGATTGGTTTGCAATTTGGTCAAATAGTTTTGCCAAATTGCACTTTTTATTCACATAATTGGGATATCACTTCTTAATTATATTCTAATTTGGTGCTTTCAAAAAAAATTCTAATTTGGATAGATAGTATTAGGATATCTGTTTCTTTTTATTCACTTAATTAGGATATCACTTTTTAATTGTATTCTAAGTTGGCCTTTCAAATAAAGTACTTCATAGATTCTAATGTGGATTTTGTAACTTTAAAGAGATTTTAATATGGTTTCTAAATATGTAAATTTTAATTATTAAACATTGTATTTATTATCGTTAGGGAGGACTAACAAAAGAATGTTGACTTTGCAAATCAATTTGGGACGGATGAGGTAATTAATAAATTTTAGATCAATTATAGTAGTATAAATTTAAATAATTAATCATACTTCGGTCCGGTACCGGTACCCATTTTATGAGAGCCCGACATGACATTGTTTGGAACGGTACGGTTCGGGACAAAAAAAATTGAGATCCTTTTTGAACCCCATTTATCGATCCGGTACCATACCAGTCCGATTCGGTACCATGCTTGTTCGGTATTTTTGCCCACCCCTAGTCTGGGGAGCAAATGTTGGAATATGGATGACAAAAGTCCTTAGAGATAATTGTTCAGCTTCAGCTACATAGCTATATTAGGAAAAGATCATTCGTGCGCGTAATTTGTACACATTTGTTGTATACATTCTCCTAGCAACCTATATGTACAGACAACTCGTTCAGTAGCTCCTGTATACACAAGCTAGTTTTCGCAACGCGCGATGTGCGATGGAGATTGTGCCCAATGTGTTTTTATAATAGGGATAATGGCCAATGTGTAAGAAGGGGTGCTTGGGATATATGCTAGGGGAAAATGATCATGTTTGTGTGGTAGTGTGTGTACAACATGTATTCCCTTTTAAAATAACATTGAAATAGAACTCCCAAATAAGGTAATGAAAATTTCATGATTGCATTATTAGTGTGCAATTTATTAAAATGAGAAGAAATAGCCATAATATTGTATCATGGAAACAAGCTTAGTAGTGTATCATGGGAAAATATGTTTATGGTTGCAGGAGAGATAACATTCAAAAATCAAAATGGAACATAGTACTGCAAAAATGAAAGTATTTGAATGTAATAACACAGTTTGGTGAGTCGTGGAATGGTTTGGATGGTTGTGTATTCTCCGTCACACTGTTTTGATGCGTTTCATTGGAGGATTTGAAGTGCTTGTGCTTTCATCGGGTGCAGTGTGATCGGCAACATTTGCTTCATCCATCTTTATTATGTGCAACGAAGACTCGTGCAAAGATGTTATGATATAAGATGTCTTTGAAGTACGAGGATAGTTGTTTTTGAACTCCAATTGTCTGGTGAAGACCTCAACTGGACTATGTACTCTTCCTTAGCAAGGCGCTTGTTTACGTATGGGAATGAAGCTTTTTTCCCCTACCAAGTACAAAAGAATTTCAATGAGTGGTTTCATATAGAATTTAAATCTAGTAGAAAATTAGACTTTGACAAATGACAATGTGTATATTATTCATATTTCTACAGGACCCAAATTCCATAAGAGATTATGCTTCATTTGATGATTTTGTAAAAAAATCTATGGCATCGAGTTGGCGAATAATCTTTTGGGTGACATTTTTAATTAATTTTACAATGTAGTTAATGTTTTTGGCAATAGGAAACAAATGCAAAAAACAAATTCAAAAAACAAGTATATTTGGTTTCATTAAACGATAATTTAATTGGGTGGTATTGTGGATGATGTTACCTGTGATTCTATCTCCATGACTTGCCTGCTTGTCATAAGTAATAACTTTTCAGCGCACAAGCCAAACACTATTCCACTGACAGATCCTGTCTCATCTTGGATTGTGACATGTAATTTGGCCCTGCGCGAAGGTTGTAATATGATTTTTTGAGGAAAATGACGTATACTTATGTTGTATGGTGTAATACAAGTGGCGTACTTGCCTTGGAACGCCATAAGCATTTTCTTGACCGCAACTCATGCAGTGAAATATTGCATCACAACCAGCGTATTTATTTTGGCACAATGGCTACAAGCAACATACCAGAGGCTATAGTTTTCTAAAACCAAAGTGATTGTGCCTTTGATCCAAATAGGCCTTCTCTGTCAGTGTTTATGGATTACACAAATTACAATGGATAAGTCACAGTAATGTAATGGATTTGAAGTAATTTATAGCATGGGTTACATAAATTTTTGGGTGAATTATTGCATATGTCGTCAATGTTTTTTACGTTGTCAATGGTTATTAGGAAAAACATGTCATATAGGCATTGGGAGGAATAAAGTATATAATAACAACATACCTGAGGAATGATAGCAGGGACTTTAGCTATTGGGGTGATTGTTTCGTTGTCAGGATTTGCTAGGTGGAAGCCAGCATCCAAGAACTTGCGGCCAACCTTCACAGCATCGAGGGTGGACTTGTGGTCAATAGCCCTACACGTAGGTTGATCGTAATCAGTCACATGTTATAAGCATATATGTAGATACAACATATTCCCGTAACGTTAAAAGGGGAAAGAATGGTGTGCATATTCACGCTCAACAATTTAAGGTATTGGAAGAAGGGAGTTAATTGTTTCCTATTCAACTCTAACCATAGATGTTTCGTACTTTAGGATTTAGCCGATTATATGGCATTCCATATATTTCATTTTCATCTATTACAAAGGTCTCTGTTTTATCTCGCGGTTGGGCTCTAAATCTGCAAGTTGTTTATATTTTGCAACCCTTTCTACTCTTTCATCTATCTGCTACTTTTCCATTTGTTGTATATTTTGTTCTTCGCACTTTTCTATGTAATCCCTTCTACTCTTTCATTGATGAAACTTTTTTTTTTAAAACAACAGGTGGTCTTTAAATAAAAAAATCAACATTCACTTTAGCAGTTATAGTTTCGGCATCATTTTGCATAAGTTTGATCCTTTAACTCTTAATATATTCCAGGAGGAACCATATCACTTTCTGAACTGTCTAGCTGTAAATCACCCAATTAAATGAATATAATGGGTTTTTTGCTTCCAAAAAAAAATCAATCTACACTAATAATGAAATTTTGGTGACACTTCAAGAGCAAATTTTGAGAAACTCAGATTTTATTAACGTCATATTTTTAACATTTTCACATGAAAGTAACATTATTTACACAAGATTACTATTAAAGTATGATAAGGTTAAAATAGAAAGTGACAGTCATTAACTATTAAATTTTAGTACTTTGCCTTCTGTCCGTGTGTGAAGTACTTTAATGTATATTCAACATGATTAGGATCCCTAGAACAATTTTCATAAAGAGATCCATAATGATGACCAATAAAAAGCACCAAATAAAAGAACAATTAGAACCTTATATGATTACCATATAATTACAGAAGGTAGACATTACCATTTCTCCAATTCTGCAGCACGAGGCAAATCGGAATTCAGAGTGATTGTTGAATGAGACATTGAAGTCAAAGATATCCCTATGTATTAAGAGCAAAATTAGTACTTGGTGCGAATATGTAATATACGTTATAGGGTTGTAATAGTACCTTTGAAGTCGGTAGCCTTAATGTCTTCTAGGCTCACTATAGGATACTTTTTTTGAGTTAGTTCCTCAAAGATTTCAACTCCCTTTGTTAGCGCCAACTCATCCCAAAGTGTGAATTGCACTGGTTTCAGTCTGTTGGAATTGTGATGGATTTGTATGAGTGAGTGGTGTTGCAAATAACTTCAACAATATAATAAGATTAATCATAGGTCCTACTTACAGTTCATCAACCACAATGAAATCCTTGATAGACCGGACACCATTTGAAGTCGACTGGGTTTCTCTTGGAAGTTTATCAATTACAACAACAACCATTGCTACAATTTTAACAATGGTATAAATAGACTTCAGTATACAATTTTTTAATAATACGTAAAGTAAGGAATTTTAACCGTGTAAGTTGTAATATATATTTCAGCTTGTTTAACGTGGGTGCGTGATATTTGTGTATACAGGCAATGTTGCTTACATATGTCACGCCCAGTCTTCATGTGCTGATATAGGTCACTGAATCTGGAGACCCTTTTAGTCTCAAAAACTTCAGCTTCATTTGCATTTTCACATGGTTGAATAGCTGTTCTACGATTGAGAACCCATGTGAACCCATACCTCATATCTGGCACTTTGTAGGAGTTCTGTGGTACGCGAACATGAGCGTTCGAGATGTGGTAAGACGAATTGAGCTTCGTAGTCATATCATACATCTCTACGTCATGGTCAAATACCATGGCTGAGATGCGTATGCCCTGTAAACATTTTAAGCATTAAAATCGCAAAAACATAACATGGACATTTCATAATGGCCTTTTTTTAACAATTGATATAAAAAACACTACTTTAAAAGCACATGCAGAAACAATGGTAGTGATTATTTAGTGATCAACCATAAATTCATGGACATTTCATATGATCTTTCTTTAACATTTGATATTCAAGCAAATACTTTAAAATCACAGGGAAAATATTGGTAATGGTTTAGGGCAGATGGTTGCGGCAAGACCTGCCCTTGGGAGGGGAACAACAGCTGGAAACGGTTGCTAATACCCCGTAGGCTGAGGAGCAAAAGGAGGAATCCGCCCATTTGATTCTCTCTTTTTATGGATTCTTTAAGAAACACGTAAGAATAAAACTCCAATCTGAGTGTTTGTTT